AATTATAATTATATTTTCATTCAATAAATATATCATATTTTTTAATAGGCGATCATATTTATTAATTGATAAATATAATTATGATATATATTATTAGACTGCGGATATTTATGCAAAATATTTAACTGAATATTTTGCATAAATTGCATATTTACAGATGGCAATCTCAATCTTTTTATTTTACTTTTTAATAACTCTTTAACGAATAATGCTCCGATCGACTGCTCCGATGATTAATATTCAATTAAATATTTTGCATAAATGTTCGCAGTCTAATAATTATATATCGGAAAAATACTAAATTTCAATAAATACTTGTTTGAAGTTTTAAGTAAATATTACTAAATATAAACATATACTTATTTGATATAAAAATGACTAATTTAATTATTCTTTTATTAAGTAAGTATTTACTGTAAATAAATATTTACTTAGTACTATTCAAAGAAATATTAAAATTTAATAATTTCTTTTTTAGTGTAATTATTTAAAAAACTAGCGCCTTGCTAGTTTATTAGCCTATTAACTTATCATTATTATTATTATTATTATTATTATTATTATTATTATTATTATTATTATTGAGACGAATCTAATAAAATTCATATACAATCATTTTATCATCATTGACAACAGTTAACGAAAATTGGCATTGCGCATGGATTGTTGCAGTAATGGCGGACCAAGCCGCGTGACGCTCCAGGACATTGTCAGAAACGATCCTGGATACACGCCGAACATCGAGCACTTAGTGTTTCCGGAGCGCAAGAGCAGCAATCCGAATTTGGCGGGTGTTATCGATGGCTCGCCGCCAAATAAATCCAAGTCAAATGCGAGCTCAGGAAGATCCAGACTCGCCGAGGTCTTCGCTCGGCATTACGCAAGAGGATCCTCGCAAGACTCCGTTACGTCCAGAAAAAATCACGTAAATGTATGTCTTGAGACATAATCGAATGAATTTAATCTGTTTTATTAATCTAACACATTGGTGCTCTTGTCGTTATTTAAGTTCACTTGATATTACAAATTTAAAGCATTTTTCTTTAAATTGGTATAAATTAGTACAATTCTTTCTGTCGATTAGTTAATCAAATGATTCAAAGCACTTTATTGTGGACCACTAAGTAGACCGCATTCTCAATTACACTGTGACGGAATATAATTGAAAATTTTGAATTATTAATCTTTTCACAGAGAAAAGTATTTGGTTTTAACCAGGTTAACTAAAATTTAAATTAACTAGAATTCTGGTAGAAAATGAACCCAGAATTCTAATTAAATCTACTAGATTTCGGGTTAAGATAACCAACATTCAGAATTTCCTTGGTTATTATTAGAATTCTTTATTTATTAGAATTCTAATAGATTTAATCAGAAATCTTAATCAAAATTCTGGATTTATTTTCCACCAGGATTCCAATTAATTCAACTAAATATTTTTCTCCGTGTATATTTCATAAAATCACTTGTCATGTCTGGAGTATGTTCCTAAATATATTTCGATTACGATATGATATAAATAAATTTATATAGATGGATGTTTAAAAAACAAATCAGGTGACATGTCATTGAGATATTGAGTCGTGGAGTAATAAAAGTCAATAAAGTGACACACACGTTCGAAGTTCGAGTTATCGCGACAAATCGCTCGTACGGAGTTCTCCTCTCAGGCAGGACATACGAGAATAAAAATACTTTCTTCGACACGCGACGGAGTTGCGCCAACCCGCCGGTTGTTCATACGTGCTTCAACCGTATTTGGAAGTAGAGACAGCCGCACGGCTCTTCATGCTCTTATGGCTACGCAAGTTTAGTCCGTGATCGACGTAACGATAATGGCGCCCTATAATACAGGCCCCTTTGGCAATTGACACAATTTCATAATGATCATAGCGATAATGATACCCGTTAACGAGTTCTGGTTAATAAGGGAAAATCAAAAACGATTAAAAAAAAGGAAACTAATATTTATGACGTAATACGTACGTTTCAAAAATTTTTTCATTGATATCCATTTCTCTTATATTATACCAATTTATCTCTTATGTTATACCAATGTATCTTTTATATTATACCATTATACCAATGTAGATTAATTTTAATCTTGATTTAACTCATTCTTCATCCTTTTCCAATTTTCGGAATTAGAAAATGATGAAGAGTTAGTTGAACCAAGATTAAAATAGAATTACATTGGTATAGAAACGAGTATTAAATATTTTTTTATAGAATATATTAGCAATTAAGAACATATTTTAAAATCACAGAAACATTAATTATTATTTAACAGTGATTTTATGTATCTGAAATTTTATCGCAATAATTAATTCTAGGATTATAGGACTATACAGTAAATCTCTTGGATTCAAGTAGTTATTTAAATTAATTTCTAAATGTGTTAATTATTTTCTAAATGCACGTTAAAAATAAATTTTTTTAAGAGAATGTCAGACATAGTAAAATATGAAAAATTCAAATCTTTTAACATGCATTTCTACTAATTTAGATTAACTTTAATCTCGATTTAATTTAGTTTCTAATTTTTTTTAATTCTTAGTTCTAGAAAAAAATAAGAAGTAAGTTAAACCGAGATTAAAGTTAATCTATATTAATAGTCAGAAGAGAGTAGTGTTTCGTGTAGAATTACCATAAATTACCATAAAATAAATGTTTAAATAAGGAAAAATTCAAACACTTAATTGGAATTTTCGCTCGGTCTCTCAGATCGGTGTGTGTAGTCCTCAGATTTTCAATCGCGTCCCACGGATTTTCTCTCTGCCCACGAAGAACGGCCTTGGATTTCGGTTACAGAGCACGTCGTTGGATAGTGGGAGCACGATAGGTCATCAGCCGGGGCCCGGCGGGCCCACGGTGGTGACGCGGAATACCGGACGCCGCTGGCTCTCGCAGAACTCGCAATCCTCGAGACAGCACTCGACCGAGGATGGGGTACGTGGGGGTAATGTGGGCGTCGGAGGGCCCATTTCGACCTTGTCCTCGAGCCAAACCTCCGGTCAGGCTGTGCCTCCCGCCCTGCCGCCGCGCAGAGTCAGTCCAGCCGCGGATACAAGCGAGATCACTAACGCGGGTCCTATCCCGCGTGTCGACAGGTAACTCACGCGTTTTATCTCTTTTCTATTTAAATTTGTCGCTCTGGAGAGTAGTCCCGGTGCGTTCTAACTGTTCCGTGAACTCCACAAGTACCAGTAGTACTGCACACGTTTTCAGCTTGATAATCTCTGAAATATTAAAAATAATCAATTGAAAAATTTAGAAACGTTGATTATGTGAACTTGGAAGATTTTGTAGTTACTATTGTGCACGGTTACTAGTGTGAAATCGTATATGTGTGATAAAATGGTGCAACTGTATCTATTTGAGTTATTGAAGAAGACATCCAATATGGAATCTTATGAAGTTCGCGTGACTGTCACATAGGAAACGAGACAGTAGCTAAATCGTTTTCCTGTTCATGCTTGTCCTTTCCGTCTAGATTCCCTTTAGATGCTAGTGTTTGTATGTGTACGTATGTACGTATGTAGTGTACGTATGATGCCGGACCACTCGCGTTACTTCTTCGTGCACTCGGATACTCACCGTCGAGCATGATCTGCTTACACGAGGGAGAGAATGTTAAATTTATCATCAAATGCCGAATGCCATCTAGAATGATATCCGTTCTCAAGGCTGATTGGCTGATTAATCTGTAAAGACAAGATTGGAGTTTTTCAAGAACATCTTGCATGATAAACACGTTAAAAATACCAAATCTCGTGCGGTATAAAAAAAGATTTGTCTCTTTTATACGAGACATTTTTATTGACATTCAAAAATAAACCGAGCAAGAGTAATTGCTGTTCTCGTACCAGTCAATTTTGACAGGTAAAAAGTATGATGGCTAAACGTACAGATGAGAAATGTTTTGCAATGTTCAATACAACGATTATACTGACACAAGCGTACGTGACAGTGGATTAAAAGAGAGGGTGGTCACTCCATCTTGCCAGTTTCTTATTCAGACTGAAAGATCGCTCTATTTAAAGTGCGGTTCTATTTAAGACATCACATTACTATCAAAGGAAGCGAACGACTCTACGTGTCATGTCGGTTAAAAGGTAAATATGATTAATTGAGGGCATAGATATTCCTGTCCCAATCGATTTGTTCGGCGCGTTTCGTTAGCTCCATATGTGGAGTGATATCGACGAAAGGTTATTCGCAGCAAGTATCTGAAATACACTTCGTCACCTAGTTTCATTGTACGTTTTTCTCTGTCTTTAGTCCAAATTAATTAATAGTTTCACAAATCACATCGGATGTCGAGCTGCTCATACAAATTCAGCGAATTCTGCATTTTTCATCGATAATCCTTTTTAGCGCTTCGTTAAGAAAAGTCCAAGACAAAATTAATTTTAATTAGAAGCTCATAAGGTCCTTTCATACGATTAATTTCGCATTTTAATGTTTAACATTTTAACATTTCTCATTTACCCGGTAAATCAAATTGCGTCTAATACAGCATCAAGGCTTTGAGACACAACTTGAGAGCGTCCCGGAAAATTTCATTTTCACGAACGTCTTTTTCATCTCCAATGATCTCTTTGATCGCACGTTAATCACAACAGGCGCCAAAGATGATTGAAACCCTAGTGGAGAGACTTTGAACTTTGTCCAGACCGTGGTGATGAAAATATCAATCATTATACTTACTTTCAATTCATATCATTTGATCTGTCTTGCAAAGAAAATATGGCGAGATCGATGTTCCCGCATACATTTTTCTCATTAATACAATTAGTATGGAAAAATTCCATTTTGATATTACATTTTCACGGGATATAACATTTTCACAGTAGTCTGTAAAAATTTTTTCCATGCGATGAAAGGTACAGAAAATGAAGACTGTGATACGATAAGAAATATAGTCGAGGGTACGAATGTCCGCGAAAAGATTTGCATTTACTCTCGAGGAAAACTATCGGATATCTGATTGTCACATATTCAAAGAGGTTTTTAATATACTAGTACATACGATGTAACCTTCGCTTGCTCTCTCTCTCTCTCTCTCTCTCTCTCTCTCTCTCTCTCTCTCTCACACACTCTCTCTCATTTTTATTACTTTTATATTTGTATTAATTAATTTATTTTTTTATCATTATTTCCGTTTACTTACTTTGTTATAACTGTAAGTTTGTTCTTAGAGAACTTGCCCTAGAATTTGAATAAAGCTATCCCCCCTCCCCCTCCCATATACATATGCATGCGCGCGCGTGTGTGCGTGGCGTGTGCGTGTGTGTAAAAAACTTTTTTATGTACACTAATACATAGCGAGATGGAGTAATATCTTCTATATATTATATTTTATATAT